CTCTCTTCTCTCTATCCAGGACTCTAATTAGTCAGAGGTTGAACATTCTAGATTTTCTCTCTGATGTTTAAAATCTTTCATTTCCTAGTTTTCACGACACTGTCTTCTTACTCTATTATCGAGATGTTTCCTTAAGTTTTTATCCAGTCCTTCTATTAAAATTTTAATTTCAGCATTCTTATTTTTATTAATAAGAGCTCTTTCTTGATCTTTGCTTTTATTTATTTATTTTTTTTAGCATTCTGTCCTTGCTTTGTGGATACAAACTATTTGTTTATCTTCTTGAAGATCTGGACGATCATTTAAAAACTTCCAAGCTCTGCATTGTTTTGGTCTCCTCCAAGTTCCTTTTCTCTATTCGTTTGTTTAAGTTGCTGTCTTTCCCTACATGTTTGGTAAGCTTTCAGCTGCCTGTTTGAATTGACGCACTAGAGGGTGACTGGAAGATCTGAGGGGATGGGAACAGTTTGTTCCTCGGTGAATGTCACTATAGGATAAGGTGGAATGCCAGATTTTACTGAGGGGACCCAAATGTCAGTTCTGTATGTGTTTTCTCTTCAGTCAGTTTCCCCTAGAAGGAATCTACCAATCTCCTGCTTCTGATGGGGGATGAGGGGGACTAGGCTGGCTGCCACGATTCTGGGAGCCAAGCAAGAAAAGGTGGCTGAGGGTTTTAAGACTGCTTTTGATGCAGCGTCAAAGCTCTGCAGAAACTGAACCTCACATCTCCTGCCAGGACGAGGGAGGAGTAGTCTCTGGTCAAGTGGATCTGGGGTCTAGCTGTTCTTCCTATAAACTTTCAACTGTCGGCGGCACAAAATCAGCTTGACGTTGTTGGCTTCCTGACCCAGCTTTCTCTGGTCTGTTGTTGGTTACCACTCATGCATCCCTTTCTAGCTTCCAAACATTTGCTGACAATCTCTTACTTGCTGGCATGTCTTTTTCCATTCTCTTTGTCTTTGTGGGTTTATGACATTTTATTCTCTGACTGTCATTTCAGTGTTATTTCATGAGAGCAGAGATAAAACATAAATTTAAACCACATTATTCAATCATCCCCACTCACTCTTCAAGTCTCTGAAATGTCTTCTGCCACTACCACACTATTCCGAGTGTTCTTTCTGGGGTTACCAAATGGATACCCTGTTGCTAAATCTAATAGATGTTCCTTTGTTTTATCTTACTGTTTTGTCTTCCTTAATCACTCAATAGGGGCGCCTGGGTGGCTCAGTCCTTAAGTGTCTGCCTTCCGCTCAGGTCATGATCCCAGGGTCCTGGGATTGAGCCCCACATTATGCTCCCTCCTTTGAGGAGAGCCTTCTTCTCCCTCTCCTACTCCCTCTGCTGTGTTCCCTCTCTCGCTGTGTCTCTGTCAAATAAATAAATAAACAAAATCCTTTTAAAAAATCACTCAATAACCTTTGTTCCTACTGACAATGATTCGTACTTGAAATTTCTCTGCCCTTAGCTTCAGTGAACACTTCTGCTTTTCTCCCTACCTACTGAGTTTCTTTTTGCCTTTGGGAGCACATCGCCTTTGACCTATTCCTTTAAAGCTGTTGTCTTTATGATTCTGTTTTAGGCTATTCTCTTTTCTCTTGAGAATCATCTGCCCAACCTCAATATCTTCATCAGTGGTTTCTCACAGGGTCTGAAATTCTTCCCCACCAATAATAATTGTAATAATCTATTATGGGCCAAGACCTTGGTTAAAATGAAATTCCAGCTGGGAGAGTATTCCTTCCCCCCTTACAAATGACACTTATCATATCGTCCTTGAGAGATAACTAATGTTGTTTTGCTTAAACATATTAAACATAGACACAGACACAGACACACACACACACATACACTTACATATACCCCAATGCCATTTTTACTCATCCTTAACTTTCAGCCACTGCTAACATTTGGGAGTATAGTATCCCAATATTTAGATTTTTTATTTTTTATAAGATTTTTATTTATTTAAGAGAGAGAAAGACAGTGTGTGACTGGAGAGGGGCAGAAGGGAAAGGAGAAGGAATCTCAAGCAGACTCCCCATTGAGCATGGAGCCAGCGGTGGGGGTCGATCCCACGACCGTGAGATCATGACCTGAGCTGAAACCAAGAGTCAGATGCTTAGCTGACTCAGCTGCCCAGGCGCCCCTAGATTTAATAAATATTTCACAGAGGGTCATGCTGTATATACTTCATTATACCCTATGTTTGAAACTTAGCAATAGATCATGAACTTGTCCCTGTCATTGAACTGATTTTCAGTGGCCTTGTAGTATTTCATCTTTTGATGCATTACATTTACTTAGCTCAGTCCCCATGGTTAGAGAGTTAGGGTACATATGGTATGTTGAATGCCCTTACACCTCAGTTGTTTTCTTAGCAATAAATTTATGAAGTAGAACTGTGATGTCAAAGAATATTTGCATTTTAATCTATGTTGGTATTTAATGCCAAACTTATCCCCAAAATTTGTTATCAGCTTCAGCCCTAATAAAATATGTGGACATTATCTCATACCGGCATAAAAAGCTCCTATAATTGTCATTATTTATAATCTTCAATGCAATCTCACTTTAATTTACATTTATTTGATTCCTCATATAGTCGGCTTTTAAATATATTTTTTAATACTTTATTTATTTATTTGAGAGAGAGAGTGAGTGAGAGTGAGAGAGGGAGAGAGCACAAGCCCGGGGAGAGGCAGAGGGAGAGGGAGAGAGAGAGAGAGGGAGAGAGAAGCAGGCTCCCTGCTGAGTAGGGATCCTGATCCCAGGATGCTGGGATCATGACCTGAGCCAAAGGCAGATGCTTTACTGACTGAGCCACCCAGGCGTCCTGGGCTTTGAAATATATTTGTTGCCTATTTGTTTTCATGTTGTGTGAATTAGCTTTCTGTTTTATTTGTCTATGTTCCTGTCACTACTTTCCTTTTTGCTTATTTGTAGACACCTTAAAATCTGTTTTGCCTCCAATTTTGACCCCTTCCAGCCCATCCGTACAGACAGAACATGCTTCCTAAAACATAAATTTGAGCATCACTCCTTGGCCAAAAGTGGGTCAGTGGCCCTCACTGCTCTTTGGATAAAGTGCAAACCTTGTAACGTGGCCCACAAGGCCCTGTGTGATTTTGCTAATTCTGCAACCTTCAGGCTAGAGAGAACACAGAGCCACATAGTCTCGGCTTACCTAACGCCTACGCATTGTGTAGGTCACTGCGTAAAATGAACTTCCTCCCGGGAGATTTCCCTTAGTGCCCAAGTCCCTGCCAGGGGGGTCTTGTGTATGGTACAGTCCCCTTGTAGTGGCGTTTTTATTGCCTATTTAATATCTTTCTCCTCCACAAACTGAATTTCCTGAGGGCAAAGACCACAACTGTGTGTCTCCAGTGTGCCGGGCACAGTGCCTGGCACATTATTTGTGCTCAGTGAGTATTGGATGGGTGGATGGGTGGATGGATGGATAGATGGATGGGTGGATGGATGGACTGACGGACAGATGGGTGGATGAATGGAAGAAAGAAGATTGGGGAGGCCAGGAAGAAATTTTATGAGCCAATTTTCTGCCTTAACTCTTGCCCTATAGGGGTTGTTGTCTTCTTACTCATTGAATCCTGAAGACTGGCCATTCTATGTAAGACCTGAAGATTATAGTGTTAGTCTTTCATATGTTTATCCTGGCCTACAGCTTATTCCTAAGTCATCTCTATTTTCACAAACAGCCAAGAGCTCTTGTTGGTGGATGTGTAGCTGGGTGTACGTGCGTGAATGTTTGTTTAACTTCTCAACCCCTTACAACTAATTCACCTTAGAAGTTTCCTCTCTGGTCTTCTACATTCAGTGCTTCTTCCCTTTATTCTACCTGCATATTGTTGCCAGATTAATTTTTTTTTCCATTCTGTCATTTGCATGTTCAAGGATCTTCATTGGCTGTGATTCAGAAGGTCTGTCATAGGGCCTCAACATGTGTGCTTTGGTCAAAACTGCCCAAGAGATTTCTGATGTGTTCTCATGGTTAAGAATTGCTGAAGCACAGAAGAATTTACCTTAATTTTTTTTAAAGAGCTACCTAAATTGGTTCTGGGTATAGAGCTTAGAATCCAATGAACATATATTCAGTTATATTTCTTTGTTTTTTCTGACCCTTACTGGTTGTGTGACCTTAGGCAAGTTACTTAAGCTTTCTATGTATCATTTCTTGTTTATGTTATATCTTACTGTCATTTACAAAATGGAAATAACATCTACTACACAGGATTATGGCAAGAGGTAAATTAAATAATGTATGTAAAGTGCATGCATGGTCTCTTCTGTCTACTAAATGCTCAATAAATGTTAGCAGCTGTGTTGTTGTTAGTCATTCATTATTCATTTAACAATTGTTTATTCACCATGTGTCCAACACTGTGTTACGGACCATGGAAGCTATGAGAGGTACAAAATACAAACCCTGCTCTTGAGATGCTTAGAACTAACTGGGGAGGTAAAAGTAGCAGAGCATTATATAATTATAGTAAATAGTAATAAAATTAAATGCAAATGTTATAAAAGAACAAATCAAGTACAGTATGAAGTCTTGAACTCAGCCCAGCCCCAGCATGCTGGCTTGTTGATTAGCATAAAAAAAATCGAGGGGAAGAAAAAAAATCTCTCAAACTGCTCTAACCAAGCCTTCAGAGGTCTAGTTTTGATGCTGCCTGCCAGATGGAAAATGATGCAGAGGGGAAAAAATCCTGTATTTACTTCTCAAAATTAAGACAGGATGGGGGAGTGTGTTTGCAGGGTGAACATATGTGAATAAATACGGTATATCTCTTAATTTGTTCCTGATGATTAAATTCTAACTGGTTTCCATTGGAAAATCACAGATAAGATATTTTCCATTTAATGAATCAAGCCCCCCAAGTCATATATATTTTTGCCTTGTTGAACCAGGAATCAAACATTGGAAAAAGTTGCAAACTGATTTTGATGTTTATTGATGCACTTTTTCTCTTTTCCAGGGTCGCTATGGCAACAGCATCTTCTCAAGTTCTGATTCCAGACATCAATTTTAATGATGCCTTTGAAAACTTTGCTTTAGATTTTTCCAGAGAAAAGAAACTGCTGGAGGGGCTAGATTATTTAACAGGTGTGAAAATACTGTGGTTTCCTTCCCATTTTAATGCTTGTCTTTTGGTATTCTCTTACTTTAAGGTAATCAGAAAAGGACCATATTTGTAATGAAAATGCTTTTATAACTTTTAAGATAATACATGTCTCTTTTTAGATAGAATATACTTTAGCTCATGTATCAGAAAAGAAAGATGATGTGTCAGATATTTCTGGGGGCAGACAGGAGTACCATCATACCTAAAGGTCAAGAAAAAAGAAGACATTGCTGATGGATTTCTCCTTATGAGCCTATCAGTAATATATTGTTGCTTGTTGTTGAAGGGGTTAGAACTCAGGTGGCAATTATGGAATATTAAAGCATGTCCTGCTTGGATACGTGTACTGTTCAAATGGTTTTAAGGAAATTTGAGAAACTAGCAGATTAGGATGAAAAAATGTAAGAACTGTCTGGCTTGCAGACAATTTTAGGAAATGAGGGATGCAACTAGCCTGTGAAAAATTCTTGTTACCTTCAAGATTATTGAATGGCCACTTCCCGAGAAAAATACACACGTACAATAATTTGGCATTGGTCATTATTTTTGTTAACATATTAAAATAACTGTCATTTACTGAACAACTACTTTATGCCAGACACTGTGTACTCATTTTGTAGTGTAAGTATCTACCACAAATCTGTCAGGTAATGGTCATCCCTTATTTCACAGGTAAGAGAACTCGTATAATTGGCTCTTGGCCATCCTCCCCAGAATATATGATAAAACTTATTTTAAAATAAAAAGAAACAGGTTGAAGGTCATGCAATAAGAAAACTACAGGACCGCTGGAGGTCTCGGCACTTGGCTTCCATCGAACGCATCTCGTTGATGAAGAGAACCTCCTCGCCAAGAGGTGTTGAGTTGGGAAGCAAGAGTGACAACTGTTAAAATTCCAGAACAGAGAGAGTGTGCCTTCCTCACCTTCTTTTCTACCTTTTCTTACAGCCCCAAACCCACCATCTATCCGAGAGGAGCTCTGTACTGCCTCCCACGACACCATTACAGTCCACTGGATCTCAGATGATGAGTTCAGCATCAGCTCCTATGAGCTTCAGTACACCATATTCACTGGCCAGGCTAACTTCATCAGTAAGTCATGGTGTAGTTGGGGCCTGTGGCCAGAGATAAGGAAATGTAAGGAAGCAGTAAGCTGCTCAAGATTGGCCGGGGCGCCACGAGGCAAGTGTTTGTAAGACATGTTAGGTTGTTGAGTATAGTGTTTCTCGTAGACAGTGTAAGCTCCCCCAGGGCATTGCAAAGACTGTATTGCTGGGTGGACAAGCAAGGTGCGTATTTCCTTGCTGGGGGAGTCACGGTGGCCACTCCCATTTGTTTTTGTAATCCCTAGCCTTTCCTCAGTTAATCCATGTCACTCTGCTCATGCTGAGTCAGAAGCAGCGCAGAATTCATTCCTGGGTAGCCACGCCACTGTCATTGCTGATTCTGTGTGTGTGAACATCTCTCTCCTGTGCTCTTCTTCCACTTCATTAACATGATAAAATACATCACGCTGGAGGACAACTGCTTCCTTTCCCAGACCTATTTGTGTCTGCGATGGTAGTGATAAGCCTTCTGCCTCTGTCACTGTCCCCCTTCTCCCCCTCCTCTGAGAATGACACCAAATACAAAAATGTGGCAGTGGGCCATGAAATGAAAGCTGTTTAAAAAGCAGTCACTGAGCTCACATGTTATGGTTTCACCTTCTTGTGAATTAGAGCAAGACCAGGCAGAATAAGAAACTTGACTCATCGATGGCCAGATGAGAGAGACCCAGTTGCGAGTTCCCCTCCCTGTGTCGGGGAGAACTGGAAAGCAGAATTAAAACTGTATTCAAGACCAGAACTGATCCCCACCCTAAGGTTCACCCTAGGACTCTCGCCCTAGTCCGCAGAGCTGCAAATTAGTATTTTCTTTTACCTTCGTACGTGTGTGTGCATCTGTGTCTCACTTTGCACACAGGCCCACATGAGAGAAATTTTCCCCATGACACCAGCCCAGTAGGCTTCCTTTTCCTGTTTGGTGCCCATGCTGGGCCACATGGTGGGCTGGGGAGGTGACAGGACATTGCGGGTCACACTCGAAAAACACTTGCCTCGTGCGGCTCCCACCTAAGCCACCTGGCCTGGGTAGCTGTGCTCCTAGGTGTTTTATTCAACTTGAGGAGTCACAAACTCTGAGGCCTCCCTGACATGCTTTCCTGCACTTTTCTCTCTCTCTCCCTTGCTCTGGTGAGTCTTACAGCCAGCCACTGAGCTTCTCCTTCCTGAGAGGGGTAGAGCAGTGGTCTGCTGGGAGCTGAGCCGTAAGTCCAAGCGACAAAGATCTGAAGGCTCTGCTCTCCATTTTCAAAGATATATAGCCCTTTGTAAAGAAGAACTTAAAGGATGATTCTTAATGGTGATAGGATCATAGCGCCTTCGGATCGGAAGGAACCTTAGAAGTCCTTTAGGCTAATCTTCTTCCCTTGTACTAGACACCCAGTGGATGACTGTCCTGCCTCTACCGGAACATTTCCCGTTCTGGTGATAGGTAGCTCACTTCTAACAAAATAACTCATTCTGTTGTTGTGTTGTTGTAAATAATTGTCAGGGCTTCCATACGGAGGGCCTAACCCTTCCTCCTAGTAAATAACAATGACGATAAGAATTGATAACGTGCATCCTGCTTTGTCATTTATAAACGCTCCCACATAGATCATCGTGCTGAGTCCTCATGGCTTCTTTCCTAGCCTTATGGCATAGATGATACTAATTCTGTTTTATGGATAAAGAAGCTGAGGTTCACGTGAAATGAGTTGCCCAAGGTCACAGAGCTACAAACTGATGGAGTCAAGGTTTGAACACAAGCCTGTCAGACTTCAAGTCTAATGTTTCTTGAATGAAACCCACAGCTACTGATTAGTCCTAGTCCTGGCCTTTTGTACCTCACTAACAAACCTGATCCATCTCTCCCATGACAGTTCTTCAGATAACTTTAGGTAGCTCTCATGTACGTCCCTTCTAAATTCTCTTTTCCAGGCTAAACGCCCTTAATTCTTTGAATTGCTCCTCATGTGAGATGGTTTCAGGCCCCTTACTTTCATGGTATCCTTTTCAGGAACACACTGCTGTGTGTCAAAGTGCTTTATGAAATGCACTGTCTAGGGGCGCCTGGGTGGCTTAGTTGGTTAAACACCCAACTCTTGGTTATGTCTCAGGTCGTGATCTCAGGGGCTTGGGATTGAATCCTGTATCGGGCTCTGCACTCATCATGGAGTCTGAGAGTGTCTCACCCTCTCCCGCTTGTGCTCATTCTCTCTCTATAATAAATGCATAAAATCTTTTAAAAAACGTGCTCTCAAAAAAGTGAATACAGTACTCCAAAAGTGGTCTGACCACCCTAGCCCTGAACCTCTTTATTCCAGTAGTCACACTGACTACTGAGTGTTGATTACTGAGCATGTAGTCACTTGAAATCCCTAGGTCTTTCAAATTCTTGATTGTTTAAACTGAAATGCAACACCTTGAATTCATCCCTCTTCCATTTTGTCTGGTTAGCTTTGACTTCACATTCTAGCTTGCCAAAATCCTTTCAAATCGAGTTTCCGTCCTCCCAGCCTGTCTTCCATGTCATCTTCCAGTCTAGTGGAATGGAACAGTGACAAGGCAGAGCCCTGAGCAAAATTCTGCCTGGCAATGGGCAGATGAGATGAAAATATTTTAGGGGGCGCCTGGGTGGCTCAGTAGATTGAGCCTCCAACCCTTGACTGTGGCTTACATCATGATCTCAGGGTCCTGGGATCGAGTCCCATGTTGGGCTCTCCCCTCAGCAGGGAATCTGTTTGTCCCACCTCTCCCCCTCAGTAAATAAATAAATAAAATCTTGAAAAAGATGAAAACTATTTTATTGGGAATACATATTCATGAAAATTCAAGGGCTAAATCTTTTCATTGGTCTGGCCTACCTCTGTTCTGCCACTGTTGATTGAACCTTGGCTCTGAGAGTTGCTTTCCTTTGAGGTTTTTCCACATTTTCTCTTCTTAAACCACTTTGTTGAGATTTAATTGACATTCAAAAAGTTGTCCATCAACAGATCAATGGATAAAGAAAATATGGTATGCCCATACAATAAAATATAATTCAGCCTTAAAAAAGAAGGAAATTATCTGCTATTTGTGACAACATGGAAGAACCTGGAGGGTATAATGCTTAGTGAAATAAGCCAGACACAGAAGGACAAATAGGACCTGATACCATTTATATGAGGAATCTTAAAATAATGAAACTCCACATTTTCTTTAACTGGCAATTTCTTTCTTGTGGGCTAGAATTTTGTCTGGAAAAGTAGTTCCCCTTATTCTTCTTTTTGCTTTTCTTTCTTTCTCTCTTTTCCTTTTCCTTTTCCCTTTTCTTTTCTTCATCTGTAACTATCTCCCCACCTCATCTAAGATTTGAAATGGTCACAAGCCAATAATGTTTCCGATGATGCTGTTAGCTGGATTCAAACAGATGTTTGGCCAATTGTCTTCCCCATTACTGTCTATTTTTAGTCTATTTCAATTTTGTGTTTTGCATTATGCAAGCACTGGCCATACCTTCTGCCTGAGCAGGCCTACTATAACATACTGCCACAAACATAAAACTTCTGTTTCCTCTCCTTTTCATTTCCATGCAAATGTTCTCCACCACACATTTACACTCAGGTTCATGGATTTCCATATTGTGGTCTTTCCCATTTGAGCAAGGTGTATACTTCCATTACCAGAATTCACTCGTTAACCCTATTTCGCCAAGTCTCAGTGACACCTAGAGAATTCTATATTTGCCTTTTCAAAATTTAGAAATGGTCTCAAAGTCACAGAAAAGTTGTAAGAGTAACACAAGATTGTCTGTGTACTCTTTACCCAGATTCATCTGTTGTTAATATTTTGTCCCATTTCCTTTATCATTTGCTAGCATTCCCCATCTATTTCTGAACCATTTGAGAGTAAATTGCATACATCATCACCTCTGACCACTAAATTCTTCAACGTAGGTTTTCTAATACGGAAACTCTTATATAACGACAGTGTGGTTATCAACTTGAAGAGATTTAATACAATACTTTTTTTCTGATCCCACCATTCATATTCCAATTTTGACAGTTGACCCAATAACCCCCTTTCTAACATATAAAGGATCCGATATTGTCCGTTAGAGTCGAGGATCAGGTATTGCATTCAATTGTCCTTATCCCTAGTCCCCTTTAATCTAGAACGCTTCCTCAGCCTTTCTTTGTCTTTAACGACATTGACCTCTTTTTAAAAATGCCCTTTTATTTCTTTATTATACTGTCCCTTATTTGTGGGTTCCTCTGATGTTTCCTCACAATTTATATTCAGATTATGCATTCATGGCTGGAATACTGCATTGGAGATGTTGTGTCCTCCTGAGGACATCACATCTGGAGGCATGTAATGTCCACTTGCCCTTTGTTGGTGACACTAATTTTGTTCAGCTGGTCAAAGACATTGGCGGATTTCTTCACCACATAGTTACTATTTTTCTTCTTGCAACTAATAAGCAATCCCTGTGGTGATACTTTGAGACAATGAAAATGTCCTGCTTCCTCATCAAACTCATCACACCCCCTCCTGTTTTAGCATCAGTCAAAAATTCTTGCGTGTTCCAGTCTTTACCCTGATGATTGCAAAATGATGATTTTCCAAATGAGCACTCCCTCCCCCATTTACTAGTTGGCACTCTGCATTCTACTATAGGCAAAAGCCCCACCATCTGTTTATTTATCTACTTCTCAGTATAGACTCGTGAATTCTCTTTCTTCAGTGGTTTATAATTCTTCACTGCCCTTGCTTATTTTGATGCTCAGATTGTCCAGATTTAGCCAGTAAGGGCCATTTAAGTTGACTCCTAGGTCCTTACATTTTCCCATCATTTTCTTGAGCACTTCTTTACTTCTAGCAGAACAGAAGATTCTAGGCTCATAATGATCTTATCGTGCCCCAGCCTTGAAATCAGTCATTTTTCTAAGGAATCCTGGTTCGTTTTAATGGGAGGACGTTATTAGAGAACAAGATCTGGGTACTAGGAACATACCCATATGCCCATGTACATATACCTATGCACACGCATAATATACAGAGACACATACCTAATATACGTGTGTATATGGGTGCACGTGTGCGTGCGTGTGCACGCACACACACACACACACACACACACGTATAGAAATCACGAGTTCATACCAGTACCTCCAATCCCAGTCCATCCCCACAGGTTCTTTCTTGCCTTCCCCCACTCCATATTCGTATGTTCCAACTTCCATAGTGAGAACCCTGGCTCCCAATGACATCAACACATGTGCTCATTTGCTTAATCCTGTAATGTATCTAACAGTTTCAGAAGCCCTTTGCCCGCACTATGACAGAAACAAACAATAGTTCAGGATTTGTTTTCAGTCCTCCTCCTGCCCCCTTCCCTTTGGTGTGGTTGTTTTTCATCTGAAATGCAGTAGGGTTCATTTGTTTCAGCTTGTCTTCAGTTTTTGTCCCCACTCTTCCCATTCGTATTGATTTAATTGTGCTTTTCTGAATTTGTAAGGCAATGTGTTTCCAAAAGGAAAAACAAGACAAAAAAGGTGTATTCAGAGAAGTGTCTTTCTTTCCCGTGTCTTTTTAATCCCATGCCTATCCCTATCCCTTTTTTAATCCTATCCCTATCCCTTTACCTGCCAACTTCAAACATATGTATTGTTCTCTTATTTGCCTTTATTTCTTGCAAAAAAAAAAAAAATTAGCATACTATCCATGCTCTTCTGCAATTTGCTTTTTTCAACTAACAGTATACCCTGGGAATCACTCCATATCGGTTAATAGAGATCTTCTTCATTCTTTTTCATAGCTACATAGTATTTCATTATGAAGTTCAGTTTTTTTTTGTTTTGTATTGTTAGAAGAATATCTGGAAGACCGTTTATTTCCCTCTTTGTATTAAAATTCAAAGTGCAATTTATGATTCATACTGTGAATTGGTACATGGATAACCAAGCCCTCCCACATTATTCCTGGCCCTTATCCTTCTTCTCTTATCATGAGCACGACTGAGCATCTTCACCAGTTACTCTTTCTCGAACATCTCTGTTTGACCTCCATTGTGCTTCTTTTTCTGGTTTTATTTGAGACTTTTTCAACTTCCTACCAAATTCATTATAAAGCCCTCATGATCAGATCTTTTTCAAAACACTCATGATTATTTTTTTTCTAAAACACTCATGATTATTTTTAATTTTCAGCCTCACTAAATCCTTTACGAGTGCTGCATAGAAGGGACTGCATTCACTGCTCCTTTTCCTTGCCCATTCCTTCGCACGTTTTGGTAGAATGGTGGTTGAAAAGCAGTAAACTGATTGAGAAACAGATAACAGAAGAGAGGAGCCTCGATAATTCACAAACCAGAACGTCAACCCCTCTTTTACTCACAGTTAGCCAAATACATGTTTTTAATTATGCACATTTTTCTCTGTTTAAGTCAGTGTTTATGATCCAAAGAGTTTCAAAAGCAAAAACCTAGATCTCTGAGCTTGGGAGGGAAGAAGGTTCCAGGCCACAATGTGTTCCTGGACCACCCAACCTCAAATGGGTATTAGAACAGGGAAGGAGCAAAAAATGGGTAGTGTCAAGTGAGGAGATGGTAATGTTTGCTTTGATTTGCATGCCATCTCCTTGGCTTCCCTATATGCTACCTCGGAGCACAGTTAGTTTTGGGAGGAAGGGTGGGGAGGGGGTGGGAGAGATGAGCCATTAGCCCTGACAGCTTTGCTACCTTGCAGGGACAAAGCCACATTGCTGTCCACCTCATGCATTGTCACATAGTGGAGAGAACAGGACTAGGGTGAGAGACGAGGGTTACACTCAGCACATCACCATCTGTCTGTGGCCTTGGGCAAGTCACTTTTTTTTCTCTCAGTCTTAGTTTCCCATTTGTAAAATGAGGGAAATATAGGGTGTGTGGGTGTCCTGTTGGCTCTGAGATTCCATGTTCCTGTGCTCTGCCCAGTGCCACTCCATCCATACCAGGCCAGGCTCAGCTGTCAGAGGACTGGGCCTTGGGTGTCAAGATCCAGGGACTCCATAAAATAGTGATGATTCTGTGACTTTTGTATAGTGGCCATAAGGAGCCTGGCGTGAGCCTAGCTCCATGGGAGAAAAGAGACAGAAGATATCTCACTCTGTCTCCTGGGACTCAAAAGAAAACAAAATGAAATTCTTTTTTTTTTTTTTTTTTTGGTTGTAGCAGGTTGGGGGAGGGGTGAGCTTTTGATGAATTTTCAGTGTGCTTCTCATCCTATTTCTATGACCTGCTGGTTAATGTCCTTTCTTTCCCCCCCTTACAGGCCTGTACAATTCAGTGGATAGCTGGATGATTGTGCCCAACATTAAACAGAACCACTACACAGTGCATGGACTTCAGAGCGGGACCCGCTACATCTTCATTGTTAAAGCCATAAACCAGGCCGGCAGCCGGAACAGTGAACCCACCCGACTAAAAACAAATAGTACGTTGTGGTGATTCCAAAAGGCGAGCTCCACGTTCCCCTCTGTGCCACGGAGTACCTTTAGCCTGAGCGGGGAACCATGGAAGTGCAACATAGTGGAGGCACTGAGGAGAGGGGCTTTAATAGTTTTATATAGCTTTAATAGTTTATGCTTTGGGCACAGGGTTTGCTGGTGCCTTTGGGAAATACATGAACCCAGAGATACATGCAAAGTGCACGTAGTAGTAGCTGGTGTTTGGGGAGGGTGTTAGTAAAGGGTTTTTCTCTGCACCCCATCCCATGCTAGGGGAACAGTTTTGTAAGACAGGACTATTTGGGATAATCTGGTAGAATCCTTCTGCAGAGAAGCCATACCTTTTAGGAATGCTTCTGACCTAAGGGGACTTCCCAGACTTCCAACGAACTCAGCTTAACAAATAGTATTTGTGAGTAGCTAAAACAAACAGTTTTTTCTTTGTCTCCCATAGCACGAAGATTGAAGGCAGGCAGTTCGGGCTAGGGCTAGTGCAACAGCTAGTTCTGTGATGTTGTAAAAGACCTAAGCTCCTTCTCCCTTTGCATAGTGACTTATTGTCATATGGCCACAATACGGCCCTTGCGGCCTCCAGATGTCATATTTCCTTTTTTTAAGATAGGAAGAGGGGGAGAGAGTCAGTGCATAGGATGGCTGTCTCTTCTATTCGGAAAGCCTGGCACGTTTCTAGAAGTGTCCCCAACCCTGTCTGACTTCTGTTTCCATCTACTTCCATCTTATTAGCCACCCCTAGCAGCAAGAGAGGCTTGGAGCTGGAATATTTAGCTCTTCTGCCCTCTATGGTCAAAGTGGGGAAAAGAGAAAAAAGTAGGGAAGGGGGGTTATGTTTGCCAACAGCGTCTGTCACAGACCCATTTTGTATAACACAGCTCTTGCCGTAACCAGGAATTGGCTTCTAGTCATTTGTTTTATCATATGGTTATAAGAAATTCTAGGTTGTGAATGGTCCTACACAACAAATTCCATCTCTGATCATTCCTGATGCATCAGTCACTCTAATGAATGTACCTAATCATATGTTATTTATATCCCTGTAGTAAGAGGGTAGAAAGATGGTCTTCACTGAGTTCTTTTTACATTTTTTTTTGTTCTGCCACCAACCAGCAATTACCTCATCAGCTCCCCTCACTTTGTCTCACCTCAAACACTCCTTCCCCTAAGACCTACTCAAATCCCAAGCTACCCACTGAAATAAAGCAGAGTACAAAACGTATTTGAGAGCATGAGAGCCTGAGAGCCTCCTTTTAATTTGATAACCTATCCAGGGGGGCAGCTTCTTCTTCTTTTATTGAAAATGGTGGCTTCAGGCCCTACTTTCTTAATATAATCCAAATAGCAGCCAACTTGCGCTGGCCCAAGAATGATCATCCTATGAGGAGTCCCCGGGTAGCGATAGTCCCGGAGGACAGGGATGGCATTCTTAAATACTTTACCATGCGTTTTGTTTTTTCTTTCTTTTTTTTTTTTTTTCAGGCCAACCCTTTAAACTGGATCCCAAAATGACTCACAAGAAGTTGAAGATCTCCAATGACGGGTTGCAGATGGAGAAGGATGAAAGCTCTCTGAAGAAGAGCCATACCCCGGAGAGGTTTAGCGGCGCCGGGTGCTACGGTGCAGCAGGGAATATATTCATTGACAGTGGCTGCCACTACTGGGAAGTGGTCATGGGTTCCTCCACCTGGTGAGTGGATCCCACTTGTAGTTTTTCTCTTCCTTTTTTCCTGCGAGATTCAGTTCCGTAGCATGAACATAGTACCAGTAGGTCAAGGTTAAAAGGCATGTGAGGAAAACCACTCCTAGAAAAATTGGCCAGCTTTTACAAAAGCAAAAATATAAAATCTCGGGAACTACACTGAGCTAGGGGTTGGAAATTACAGCAGCACTCTAATTGCTGACTTCCTAAAACTCTTGTGCTATTAACATTATGGGTATAAATGTAAACTATTTAGTAAAGGAAAAAGCATGCTTTAGATTTCTTATATATCCCATATGGTGCCTAGGACCACTGAGATCATTAATGCATGTTTATTTCTCTCTCCTTTCCACGGTCTCACAGGTATGCAATTGGTATCGCCTACAAATCAGCGCCCAAGAATGAATGGATTGGCAAGAATGCCTCCTCATGGGTCTTCTCTCGATGCAATAGTAACTTTGTAGTGAGACATAACAACAAGGAAATGCTGGTGGATGTGCCCCCACAGTTGAAACGTCTGGGTGTCCTTCTGGATTATGACAACAACATGCTATCTTTCTATGACCCAGCTAACTCTCTCCATCTTCATACTTTTGACGTGACCTTCATTCTTCCAGTTTGTCCAACATTCACAATCTGGAACAAATCCCTAATGATCCTGTCTGGCTTGCCTGCCCCAGATTTTATTGATTACCCTGAGCGGCAGGAATGCAACTGCAGGCCTCAAGAATCCCCTTATGTTTCTGGGATGAAAGCTTGCCATTAAGTTTTCAGAGAGCCAATAATTCACTGGCTCTCCAGTCCAGCAGGTCTTCCCCTCCTAAACCTCAGTTAGTGTCCAATATACAAAATACAAAATAAAGTTCATCTGAAGCACCCAAAATAACTAGATACTATAGATTTAATTTCTGTGCATTAACGCTTGTATTTGAATTAATGTATTGAGTCTCTCAGAATGAGTTATCTGAGTAGTCTGGGTTCAAGCCATTGGAGGAGAAATTTAGAGAATACCTCTCTTATCATTGGAGAATTAAAAATTCCCAGTGATTTAGGAGTATAAATGATATTGGAAGGAATTAGGATAATTCTAAGTAAATAATGTAGAAAGATGCTCTGTACAAGGGGCTAGCCAGCCGGAAAGGTGTGCGTGGGTGGGGGTGTCAGCCTTTCCTAGCACTGGCCAGTATGGCCAAGTAGAATTTTGAGGAGTCAAAGGATCACATATTATATGTAGTTTTTGATAAAAAGCCTACAATCAAGGATTTATTATACAAAGAAATGTATGTGTATATATAATATATATATAAAATGAATAAATAATATATGTTATATATTCATTTTATAATTATATATACATAATAAATTTTTTGATTTGCTCATTTGAGTGAGAAATATACTGGAAGGGAAAATGAGTTATATCATCCATTTTTGTCCCCTAAAGGGAACATCATCAAAATCAGGCAACATTTCCTCCCCCACTCCACTCATCCCTCCCCTTCTCCCTCCTGTCACACACACAGGTACATGTGCAATAATGACATAGATGCTGGGAAGAGCTCTAAATTGGATTAGGAGAGATTGGGGTACAAGATTGCACAAGAGATGCTATTGCCGGATAGAAAATTGATCCAAGTAGAAGCACAGTTTCACTGAGGCTGCCTAATGGAGGAGGTTCATTTGAATTGTTAAAAATTCCGTCACAGAATGTCCCAAAGAAATACCGTTTCATTACTCTCAAGTATGTACAGTTACCAGAATTAGGCTTAAAAAAAGGAAAAGAAAAAAAGAGTTGCATAATGGATGTTCTTTAGGAAGTTTATTTACTTAATCGGTAAGAATGGAGTTTTCTAGATGCAACAACAATTTGCATATAAATATACTTGTATTTTCAGATAAAACACTTCTGAAGTGCTTCAGAGTGCCCGAGAACAGTCTGTTTGACTAAACAGGTTAAAGAATTGTTCCTCATGCGATCTTGTTTACACTAGTAATCTGCTTATCCGACCCTTCCGTGGCAAGTGCAAATGTAACTTTCATCCGAGTCTTCCTCACTGTTGTTGAAGGGCATCAAGTTTTATGGTCTGTGATTTTTGTCAGTCCCGCTGCAGGGACTGGGGATGTCAGAACCAGAGCTTTCTCCTTCCCAGGAGATAAGTCCGCCTCGAGGACTCTACTTCTTGGGAGTTGCGAAAATACTATTTCTGTACAAAGCGGTAGCTGTTACAAGCCACCAGACTGGAGCCTTGGAACAATGCCAAAATGTCTCCCCTCTTCCTTCTGACAGCCTCGGTGGACGTATGTTCATTCGTTCATTCATTCATTCATTCATTCATTCATTCAACAAACTACTAGATGCTGGGTACCATTCTGCTGCTGATGTATTGATAAAAACACAGTCCCTTGCTGTCAAATGCCTTACTATTCTGTAGGAGAGACAAAGTAGCTATAAAAATCCCCTAAATAACAGCTTTGTATTGTTTATTCACTTAACAGGGAAAGCAGGACTGATGCGCATACAGATGGCAGGCTCAAACTTACGTTATCTAGCAGCAACGTCAGCTTTTTGGTTGAAATAAACCGTATGTCATTTCTGCTAATTAGGAAAGGAGCAACCTCAGTCAGATCGAGCAGTGAGGGGAGCTAGCTTGCTGCCATGGACAGCTCGTAGTCTTTGGACTAAAATAATCCTAGTTCTTCTGCCATTTCCTAGCGGTGTGACCTAGGGGAAGCACTTCACTTCTCTGAGCCTCTGTTTCCTCTTCTGTAAAATAATACCTACCTCACAAGGCTGTTGCAAAGATTTCAAAAGATAGCACATGTAAACTGCCTAGCACAGCACCTGGCACGTAGTGAAGTGCGCAAGAAACATTCACCCCCTCCTCCCGGCCCCAGCCCCAGTACAGTGTAGTGGTGCTTTAAAATGGATGCCTTGCATTTCTCAGTTACTCTGGTCTCTCCTCGAGGGGTGGGCCCTCAGTTTAAAAAAAAAACATTTCCCCACTTCCCCTTCAGAAAACCTCTCACTGGCTCCCATAGCGTTCAGTAGAAGGTCCCATTTACTTCGGGTTTGGCTTTTCAGGTCCCCTGTTCGCTTTCCCAGCTTCAGCCTTTGCCACTTTCCTCCTTCCACTTGTTACGTGAGACAAGGTCAACTCTTCATACAAATGGTTCTCTGGGCCTGGGATAGAGACATCACTAACAGTTCTGATGCCCAGAGGGGACAGGAATTGTTCTTGCATTGAGGGCATAGTGTGAAAATGCTATAAATGCAGAACATGCCCCCTCCACCCCAGTCCAGTTCCTTTTACCTTATCTTTGGGTCTCTGCAGCTATTCATTTTTTTCTGCCCTTTACCTTTTAGTGGCCTGGGACAAAGCTTCAATTTCCCCACCTTACATTTGACCCTAGCCTAGACTACCTTTCCCCACCCCAACCCTCTCAACCAGGTTAACTCCTGACCACCCCCTAGACTGGGGTGTGTTCTCTTCTGAGCTCTCATGGCACCCTGAGAGTTCCCCCCACCCCCTTCTCAGCAATAATCACCTTGTATAGCAGTGTTTTTCAAAGTGTGGTCCTCAGACCGCCTGGTAGAGTCACCTTTGGTGTTTGTAAAAACAATGATCTTAGACCCCACTCCTGATCTACTTAATTGGACTATCTGGGCACATAAGTGGAATTTTACATTTTGAACAAGTTCCCAGGTAATTCTAATGCACACAAAAGTTTAATGTATAATAATCATCTTCCCTACTAGACTGTGAATGGATACCTTGAGGGCAGGGACTGTGTCTTTTGTTGTTGTACTTTTTAATACTTGGCATGGTGCGTGGAACAGAGTAGTTGCCTGACTAATGTTTATTGAATGGATGTACGAATGAATGAATGAATAAGCAAAGTTTCCCTGTTGTACTCTGATATCCATACCGGTGTTTGTTATTTTCTGGGCAGGAAAGCTTGGTTACTTCTTCATTTGGGCTGTGTTGATATTATTTTGCAGATGTCCCAGGACTCATACATATAAATGACTATTGTCTGCCTCAGAAGCTCTTTGGAAGTTAACTTGGGGAATTGTCTAGAACATGTGGCACTATTCTTTTCAAGAACGTCCCAATCTTTTCAAACTTCGTCCTCTGAAGGTGAATTTAAGTTTGGGCTACAGCCAAAAATTGCTCATAGTTTAACCTACTGAATAATGTAGGAAATTAAATTGGGTTTGGGGTAAACAGTGACGTCTCTCAGCCAAATAATGAAAAGAGGTTTCCACGAAACAACATGGTGGCAAAGTACTCTCCTGTGGGGGTGTGGTGAGTCCCGGAGACTTCAAGGCTTTCCTCGATAGTGGCAATGCCAGAGACCTTAAGAGAAGCCATTGACTGGCTCTAGCTAGATAAACCCAGTTGGACAAAGGGAGTAAGACCTGTATTTAACATCTTCAAGGACGGCGACGCCCTCAGTTTTCATTGTTGTTGCCCTACTCAATCTATTCTCCTACAATCCTTTCTGCTAGCAAATTATTCTTTCTGTCTGCAATTTATGCTTGTTTCCACTTTTTTATATTGTCTTATTGAAGAAAGCACAAAACTAATCAAAATAGAATTAAACCTGTTTTGAGAATATGAAAGAAATTTTAATGCCACGTCGGAGTTGTGACTACTTGTAAGTAAGAATTGCTGCATCTGTATGTGTTTTTATCATGTAATTCCATTGTGTAACTTTGGATGCAGTGAAATTCAGATTTCAGCAACATCACTTATGTGTTCTTTTCAGCTTAAATACACTAGGTGAATTTTCTAAGCTTCCATGGTTTACATATTTATATATGACTACCTGGATGGAGCAATCCATGGATGGACTTTTTGATAAGCTCAAATATTTGATACCCTTTCCTCTACAGAATGGAGAATGTGAGGCTGACAGATAAGAACCACTCCCATGCTTATTTCCATTCCTGAAGCCAATTGCAGCCTTGGAGCCATTGGCTGTATTTGGCTGTGTATTACAGGTTGGCCAGGTTGACTGCCATCAGGGCAGGTAAAACTGCCTTTTACAGTCTGGTCTGCCAGCTTCAGACATATACTGTGTTATTGTTGTTGGCTAGAATATTTATTAGACTATTGTCAGAATATTTTTTATCAAATATTTTATCCCAGACTTGTTTGTACTGGGAGCTCTGGACCAATAGTGTCTCTCCTAGTGACAGAAATCTGAGCATCTGTGATTACACAGCCTCATCCTTCTAAAATATCCCAGCCATCCAAAATGCTATATTATGAATTAAATAAATATATATGTATTCATGAGTTCTCGATTGTCTCTCACTGGAGTTTAAATTGGGGGAAGCTGAAAAGGAAGACGGCTGTAGGTTACTGGAATTGTCTAAATGACTTGGGGGAAATCAGTTATCATTTAAAAGGTAGAGATTTGGGCAGAGAAGATCCAGGGAGTCTAGAAATCAGGATCCAATCACGAAGACTGGTTTCAGGAGCAGGCAATCGTCAGGAAGACTAAAGAAATGAAGGTGTAAGACCCAAGAAGACATGCACATTATGTTTCAGGGATTGAGGCAGAAGGTGGGAATTAAGGAAGAACAAAGAAAATCCCATTGCTGGAACTTATTGGTTAAGGTCAGAGTAGGGCCAGAAGTGACTTGAAACAGATTGTCAGACCAAGGGCCTATAGAAATGATGGCCACAACACAAGAAGATTAAAATATAAGAGAGACAAAAATTTGGAATATCAGGGGCTTACTGGTCTACCTGGAGAGCAACCTAGGCAAAGGCCAAATATGGGGCTATTACCCACAGGTAAGATTGTGTGTGTTTTGGGATGTGACGTTTGGAAGTCTGACTCTATTTGATAGGCCAGGCCAGAGAAGATATGGGGTTCTTCATGTTCCCCTACCTGGGAATAGGGTTGCTCCTGGAGTCTCAATGAAAGTGAGCCGGTAACTGGGGGTGAGGTTTATAAAGATTAGGAGTAACAGAGTCCTCCAAGTGGGTTGTTACATGGACAATGGAAGTGTATACAGCATGATAGCTAATGAGAATGACTCTCCTCCACTGTGAATTTCCAGGGGTGGAGGATCAAGGTGGACTTCCTGTAACTGTTGGGCACAATATGCAAATTACAATTGTGACTGGCCTGGATGGGTCATTCACGAGGCATTCATTGTGTTCCCAGTATTCCTCTCATTTCTCTGGGGGGCATACTAAGATGAAAATCGTATTCCTAACATTTATAATCTAGTGGGGCATCCAATTCAATAATTCATCCCAGATAGTTTTTAACCTCTAAACAGAGTACTCAGGTAGCTGAAAAAAGAAAGCCTTTACAGAAGACACAGGGGTGAGAATAGAAGCTCTTACCAGACTTGGACATAGGACATACACAGTAAATGCTGATTGAATAGAAATAGAACCCGATAAACAGAATGACAAGCAGGCCACCTTGTACACTAATTTTGTCTTAGATGAACTTAACAGCACCACTTGTGTAATCCCTCTCAGGCACATATCTCTGGTCAAGCTTTCCCACAACTGCCTCTTTGTAACAGGCAACTGTTCTTTAAGGCTGGTCTTCTTCAAAGGGAATAATTAGAATAATTAATAGATTAGCCATCGATAATGTGCTAATGGAGGAGGATGGGGAAAATTCAAACCTCTTCCAGCTCCTCACTCTACCTCTTCCTTCCTTCTCAGAAAACAAGAAAATGTGAACAATAACCTCCTAGAGACAGTACTTTAGTTGTCCAATCTGGGGGTTTGACAAGTTGGGGGGGCAAGCTATAGACTTAACAGGTTTGAAAAGTTCAGCCAGCAATGCTCTGGCAGGCTTGTTTGGGACATATTTGGGGTCAAGAGGTCTCTTTCAAATAATAGAATATAGATGCTTACTTCCTGTTGGGTTAGCCTTGTCCACAGGATGCAGAGGATCTGCCACTTCTCCAGCCAGATTAGAGTCCCATAAAATTGAATTTGGGCTGGTTTCTCTTTCATGTCCAGTGGCAGGAAAAAGCCATTATGATCTACACATTTTTTTGCCCAGTTTAACTCCCTTGGTGATAAGGGAGGGTGTTGTGATATGCCAGAAATGTGAAATTCACAGCAAGCAGCTGTCAAGCACACAAATCCAAGGCCTGACTTATTCAGCAGGTACAATGGATCACTTAAAAAAAAAATTCTAAGTTTATTATTTACACAACGAAAGAAAAAGTAGTCAAAGGTTCCCACTCCTAGTGGTCCTTGTCCCAAACACCAAAAAGGATGACACTGAAAAAGGGGCCAGAGGACTGCAGTGGTAGTTGTGGGATATCCCTTTGCTAAGAAGCCAATTTTATACTGCAGCTAAGTGGCTTTATAGTATGTAGCTTTATTCTGAGAGGGATGAGTCAGGAAGTTTCTTATCTCATCAGATCCCAGGAGGTGGGAGAAGATGAAAACCTCTTGACAGCCTTCCAGGGGAGAGGGGGGGATAAGGAGGTAGTGGGAGATAAGTAGCCGTGGTCTTGAAGCAGCTCCTTGTAGGCCTCCCAACCTCTAGCGCCCTGGGAGGATCACAGGCATTCTGCCAAGACTCAGATTCAAGGTTCAAGCCTTTGCCTGAAGGATGAATGTAGATCATGTGAGATTGCCTGGGTGCCACAGAGCAGTTGTTCTATAGCAGCTAGCTGAACGCTCAGGTACCTTCCCAGGGGGGAAGCCAAAGGAAGCAAAGTCAGGGTCTGTTGAGGAACTACCCCCCTCCCTCCCTTTTGCTGACCTTCCATTCATGTCCTTTCACTCTGCTCAGTGTCTTTGGGGTGGGGATGGGGTGGAGGCAGGGATTAAAGGAATAACTGGGACACACAACCAATATCAGACCCAGCAAAATTCAGTACCAAGGCCAGAGAATCCCAAAACCCAAGTCCTCTCTGGCTCAGTTTTTTAACTATAAATTGAAATGTATGAGTAATTTCTAAGGTCCCTTTTAGCTCTAACAGTAGGCTTTCCCATAAATGCAAATTTCTGAATGTAGTGGTAGAAGTCAAATCTGCATACCTATCCCAAGAATGTTGGGACACCAGGGCAGATCATCAGGACCCCTGCAACTAGAAGAGAAAAGTGGGTAACATTGCTATTACTTTGGGACCTTCATCAGACTCCCTTTTGAGGTGATTGTTCTCCTCTTCACACACTTCTTTTCACTCAGAGCTCCCATGCCAGACTCCCCCACATACATTTGACACCATTATTTTTGAGTTTTCCACTTCAGCCCTCTTCCCTTGATTTATTCACTAACTGTACAAAATGCAGATCCTGCTCTAGTCATGCCTCAGTTTCAAATTTCAGGTTAGCTGTGGAACAGTTTTCCATGTGTCCATGTAGGAAATTGCCAAAGACATTCCACTTTCTAAGGGCAGAACAGGGCACTGGATGGATACAGAAACCAACAGGGGTCCTATGTGCCACCTTCCCCAATCACAGCCATTCTTCCTTAAACTTCCACAAACATACTTTACAGGGAAGAGAGAGGGTCTTGGCACTTATCATGCAATTACTTGCTTAATCATTCACTGAACAAGTAGTTTATTGATAGGATCTTTGTGTCAGGTGCTGGAGTTCAGTGCTGACTGAAATACATCATCTCTGCCCTCCTGAGACTCACAATAATCTAGGGAGACAGACTACTGATGAATGAACCTTTGTAATTATAGGAGCTATCACTGATTGCTTATAGTCTCTGACACTACTGTAGGCACTTGAAATGTAGTAACTAATTTAATCCTTCCAGCAACCCTAGGAGCTAAAGACTATTACTGGCTCTATAGAACACGAAGAGTTAATCCCTGTGCCCTTGTCCAGACCAGTAGATTCCGTGGTGCCTGGTGAGCAGCTAGTAAGGTTCCCAGCCTTAGCTGCCTCTGGCATTGGGGTAATCGAGTTTGAGGCCCAGCACCTCAGAAACGATCCGGGCCAGTGGCACCAGAATTTGGGGTTGACCAGGAAGCATTCCCAGGACTCTGTTAGACACCCTCAAAACCACCCCCGCCACGGATTTCCCATTCTCTTTTTTCTCCCCTTTCCCTCCCACCCCGCCAGTGCCCCCCCTTTCCAGGCCGGCCCCTCCCTCTGAGCCGCTTCTTCTCTGAGTCATTTCCCCTTCCCCGCCCCAAAGACCTTGGCTCCCTCTCCGTAGCCCTTCCCTCTGGCAGGAAATTGAGGAAGGGCCAACTAGCTTTGAGAACCAGGTGAACACTTCCCAGCGGATCAGAAAGGTCCCCCCACCCGCCAATTCAGACGGGTCGGAAATCGAGCGAGTTGCCGCAGCCCCGGCGGCTGGCTTCCCCGTCGCCTGAAAGCCCTGGTGGCCGAGCGTGGGAGGTGCCACACCCCGCCCGGTGTCTCCTGGGATGTGAGGGGAGGTGGCGGCCCAGTCCAGACTAGCCGGCGGGGCTGCCGCGGGCTGAGCGGAAAGTGCCGGGGCGGGAACTCGCTGCGGGAGAAGTTGGGCAGCAGGGGAGGTCCGGCCCCGCCAGCCCCTCAGGATCCCGAGGTGTAAACTGGAGATGCGCGTGTGTGGAGCGGGGCGCAGAGGTGCCTACGCGGGGAAGCGCCTCTGTGCTGGAACGAGTGGGTGTGGAGGCACGTGGAGGACACGCGCGCGTGCAGCCACTTACTGGGCCGTGTGTGGAGGTATGCGTGGAGACTGGCAGCGCGTGCGCGGGGCGCGTGTGGGGGGGGGGACGTACGTGGAGGGTGCTTTCGTGTAGGCGTGCGTCAGGGGGAGGGGAGAGCGGAAAGGACCGCTGACTGACGGAGGGGGCGGGACTGACTCTGCGTGCCTGTGGGACTGAGGTAAGGCTATCAGGTCAGCTAGAGCTGACAGAGCCTAAAGTCATGACTCTTAACTTTAATTTTCTGAGGTGGGGAGGGAGAGAAGACATGACCCCTTTGGAAATCCGGGAAAACTGTTGACCGTTACCTGGAGGGAAAAAAAAAGAAGAAGAAGAAGAAGAAGAAGCACACGGTTTGCATGGTTTGCATGCAAGCAGCGAGGGCTCCTGGGCCCGTGGATGGCCATCCGTGGCCCCCAGATCATGGCTTCAAGTGGGGAGAAAGCTCATATAGGTCACCTTAGGATCTACTATCGTGTCTTTGGATTGTGTGAGAGGAGGAATGGAACAGGTGACTGAGCTGTTGCCCGTTCTCTCTGCGGGGCCGCCTCGGACTCGGGGTGGCTTCGCGGCTGGCTTTGCTGTGCCCTGGGTCTTGGTGCCCTCAGAGAGGGGTGACACGGCGGGATCACCCCCTTCCCGCCTTGTGAACAACTGCAGGCAGGGATCTCATGGCCATCCCCTAAAGCTGGGGCGCGGGAGGTGGGGGGCGAGCTCATCAGCCTCAGACCTGCTGGTGAGCACCTTGCTAAGGTTGCAGCGCAGCGACTGGGAGCACGTCCCTCTTTGAGCCCCACCCAGGGTCTCGCCAGCCTGTGTGGAGTGTTGGAAGGAGTACTCTGCAGTTGGCGCTCTGCGGGGAAAGAGGCTAGAAGACCGACGGGCTTGGGTTCTGATCCCATCTTTGACATTAACTAACCGTGGGACCCGAAGCAGTTGTCCTCATCTTCCCAGGTGTCACTTTCCTCATTTATAAAACGAGGGAGTAGCTCACGGGGTTGTTGGAAGTGTAACCAAGATTACAATAAGTTCCCAGCACACGGAGGTATTTAATAAATGGCAGCAAAAGTTGAAATATATAGATTTCCAGAGAAGTTAAAGTAAACATTTTATTCTGGAAGAGTGTATTAAACTGATGGTTTTCTTTTGGTCTCTTCTAGGCGCACTAAGCTGTGCCTTCATACAAAGCCCACCAAGCCCATTCCCCAAAATCACACTCCTGAAGTAAGTGGGACTTTATCATTTGAATTCTTTGCAATGTTCAGGTAGATAATGATAAGCCCACTATCAGCTCTCACCTGGATGGCTCCATTGGGGTTGAAGCCTTCACAGTGTCCTCCTCCCTCCCATCTGTTGCAATCAGAGTTGCCTTTCCCTTTGAGTGAATAAACAACCTACTGGTTCAGAGCACTGACCTTGATGTCTGACAGATCTTGTTCACATCTCAGCTCTACCCTGCTCGACCACCTTCTGGTTGTGTGATCTTGGACAAATCATTTCACCTCTTTAAGAATTTGTTCCCTTAAAAAAAATCCTTTCCCTTATCTGTAAAGGGGACAGTGGTGGTCTTTACCTCATTTAGGGGTTGTGAGAAGTTACAGAGATAATGCACAGAGAGTGGCCCATAGTAACTGCTCAGCAAAATGGCAGATTAAAAATGGTAAGAGCAGGGAGGCTGCTAATGAGAGAGTGGTTGCTGTGGTGTACCATTGAGTCTAGACTGGCTACAGAGTAAAGGGATGAGGTGGGAATGAGCTGCAAATGGGAGAAGTCAAATGATTGGAGATCGTGATGAAAATGAGGAGTGGGTATTTTGAGCACCCAGAGGTAACAAGGATGAGAGCTTGTAGCCAGAGATTGAGAAAGTGGAGTTCAGGAATTCTGAAGAGGAACAGTCCCATATTTAGCAGGTGGTCGGGAATACTAATGTCTAGAAATGGCAGGGGAAGTGATATGTGATCAGGGCTTGTAGAAGTAGAGATCAAGGGGCAGTGAGGCTTGACTGTTGGGTGAGTCATCCATAGTCATTGAGGTTGTTTATATGATGGCAGGGGTTTGAATGGAGAGGAAAATGGAGCTAGTGCCAAAGCCACGATCCATCCTAATGAATGGGGAACAGTCATTTATTTCTCAAATATTCACTGAGCTCTTACTAGATATCAGGATATAACAAGACAGACAAAAGGCCTGGTCTCATGGAGCTTCCAGGCTAGGGGGAGTGATAACTGGGATTAATAATCCCACCCTATAAAAAGAAGACTGCAGACTGTGAGAAGAGCTATGAAGGGGGAAAAAAAGGGGGATCTATAGGGGCTTACAGCTGGAGGACCTGACCTTGTATGAAATGTCAGGGAAGGCTTCCCTGAGGAAGTGATGAGAAATGAAGGATCAATTGGGGTAGATAGAGGAGGATGAGGGGTGTGTGGAGAAAGTGTCTCAGGTACAGGAAATAAGTAACATTTGTGGAGACCTGAAAGTAGAACATGTATAAGGGAATTGAACTGATAGTCATCTATGACTAGGGCATATTAAGCAAGGGGGAGAGCTGAGGCTGAATGGCAGGCCTCCTTAATTATTTTAGGTTTTATTCTAGGAGCAATGGGAATGCTCCTATTAAAAAGTTTTGATTAGGGAGGGAGGAGTCAAGATGGCGGAGAAGTAGCAGGCTGAGACTACTTCAGGTAGCGGGAGATCAGCTAGATAGCTTATCTAAAGATTGCAAACACCTACAAATCCAATGGGAGATCGAAGAGAAGAAGAACACCAATTCTAGAAACAGAAAATCAACCACTTTCTGAAAGCATATTTTCCTAGGGTTGTTGCCACCCTTTTAGTATTTTACTTGCTCCTTCATATACTCTTATCTGGACAAAATGACAAGGCGGAAAAATTCACCACCAAAAAAAGAACAAGAGGCAGTACCAAAGGCTAGGGACCTAATCAATACAGACATTGGTAATATGTCAGATCTAGAGTTCAGAATGACGATTCTCAAGGTTCTAGCCGGGCTCAAAAAAGGCATGGAAGATATTAGAGAAACCCTCTTGGGAGATATAAAAGCCCTTTCTGGAGAAATAAAAGAACTAAAATCTAACCAAATTGAAATAAAAAAAAACTATTAATGAGGTGCAATCAAAAATGGAGGCTCTCACTGCTAGGATAAATGAGGCAGAAGAAAGAATTAGCGATATAGAAGACCAAATGACAGAGAATAAAGAAGCTGAGCAAAAGAGGGACAAACAGCTACTGGACCACGAGGGGAGAATTCGAGAGATAAGTGACACCATAAGGCGAAACAACATTAGAATAATTGGGATTCCAGAAGAAGAAGAAAGAGAGAGGGGAGCAGAAGGTATATTGGAGAGAATTATTGGAGAGAATTTCCCCAATATGGCAAAGGGAACAAGCATCAAAATCCAGGAGGTTCAGAGAAGCCCCCCCTCAAAATCAATAAGAATAGGTCCACACCCCGTCACCTAATAGTAAAACTTACGAGTCTTAGTGACAAAGAGAAAATCCTGAAAGCAGCCCGGGAAAAGAAGTCTGTAACATACAATGGTAAAAACATTAGATTGGCAGCAGACTTATCCACAGAGACCTGGCAGGCCAGAAAGAGCTGGCATGATATATTCAGAACACTAAATGAGAAAAACATGCAGCCAAGAATACTATATCCAGCTAGGCTATCATTGAAAATAGAAGGAGAGATTAAAAGCTTCCAGGACAAACAAAAACTGAAAGAATTTGCAAACACCAAACCAGCTCTACAGGAAATATTGAAAGGGGTCCTCTAAGCAAAGAGAGACCCTAAAAGTAGTAGATCAGAAAGGAACAGAAACAATATACAATAACAGTCACCTTACAGGAAATAAAATGGCACCAAATTCATATCTCTCAATAGTTATCCTGAATATTAATGGGCTAAATGCCCCAATCAAAAGACACAGGGTATCAGAATGGATAAAAAAACAAAACCCATCTATATGTTGCCTACAAGAAACTCATTTTAAACCTGAAGACACCTCCAGATTTAAAGTGAGGGGGTGGAAAAGAATTTACCATGCTAATGGACATCAGAAGAAAGCAGGAGTGGCAATCCTTATATCAGATCAATTAGATTTTAAGCCAAAGACTATAATAAGGGATGAGGAAGGACACTATATCATACTCAAAGGATCTGTCCAACAAGAAGATCTAACAATTTTAAATATCTATGCCCCTAACGTGGGAGCAGCCAACTATATAAACCAATTAATAACAAAGTCAAAGAAATACATCAACAATAATACAATAATAGTAGGGGACTTTAACACTCCCCTCACTGAAATGGATAGACATCCAAGCAAAAGATCAACAAGGAAATAAAGGCCTTAAACGACACACTGGACCAGATGGACATCACAGATATATTCAGAACATTTCATCCCAAAGCAACAGAATACACATTCTTCTCTAGTGCACATGGAACATTCTCCAGAATAGATCACATCCAGGGTCCTAAATCAGGTCTCAACCGGTATCAAAAGATTGGGATTATTCCCTGCATATTTTCAGACCACAATGCTCTGAAGCTAGAACTCAATCACAAGAGGAAATTTGGGAAGAACCTAAATACATGGAGACTAAACAGCATCCTTCTAAAGAATGAATGGGTCAACCAGGAAATTAAAGAATAATTGAAAAAATTCATGGAAACAAATGATAATGAAAACACAACGGTTCAAAATCTGTGGGACACAACAAAGGCAGTCCTGAGAGGAAAATATATAGCGGTACAAGCCTTTCTCAAGAAACAAGAAAGGTCTCAGGTACACAACCTAACCCTACTCCTAAAGGAGCTGGAGAAAGAACAAGAAAGAAACCCTAAACCCAGCAGGAGAAGAGAAATCATAAAGATCAGAGCAGAAATCAATGAAATAGAAACAAACAAACAAAAAAAAACCAATAGAACAAATCAATGAAACTAGGAGCTGGTTCTTTGAAAGAATTAATAAGATTGATAAACCCCTGGCCAGACTTATCAAAAAGAAAAGAGAAAGGACCCAAATAAATAAAATCATGAATGAAAGAGGAGAGATCACAACTAACACCAAAGAAATACAGACAATTATAAGAACATACTATGAGCAACTCTACGCCAACAAATTTGATAATCTGGAAGAAATGGATGCATTCCTAGAGACATATAAACTACCACAACTGAACCAGGAAGACATAGAAAGCCTGAACAGACCCATAACCAGTAAGGAGATTGAAACAGTCATCAAGAATCTCCAAACAAACAAAAGCCCAGGGCCAGACGGCTTCCCGGGGGAATTCTACCAAACATTTAAAGAAGAACTAATTCCTATTCTCCTGAAACTGTTCCAAAAAATAGAAATGGAAGGAAAACTTCCAAACTCATTTTATGAGGCCAGCATCACCTTGATCCCAAAACCAGACAAGGATCCCATCAAAACAGAGAACTACAGACCAATATCCTTGATGAACACAGATGCAAAAATTCTCACCAAAATACTAGCCAATAGGATTCAACAGTACATTAAAAGGATTATTCAGCACGACCAAGTGGGATTTATTCCAGGGCTGCAAGGTTGGTTCAACATCCGCAAATCAATCAATGTGATACAACACATTAATAAAAGAAAGAACAACCATATAATACTCTCAATAGATGCTGAAAAAGCATTTGACAAAGAACAGCATCCCTTCCTGATCAAAACTCTTCAAAGTGTAGGGATAGAGGGCACATACCTCAATATTATCAAAGCCATCTATGAAAAACCCACCGCAAATATCATTCTCAATGGAGAAAAACTGAAAGCTTTTCTGCTAAGGTCAGGAATACGGCAAGGATGTCCGTTATCACCACTGCTATTCAACATAGTACTAGAAGTCCTAGCCTCAGCAATCAGGCAACAAAAGGAAATTAAAGGCATCCAAATCGGCAAAGAAGAAGTCAAACTATCACTCTTTGCAGATGGTATGATACTATATGTGGAAAACCCAAAAGACTCCACTCCAAAACTGCTAGAACTTGTACAGGAATTCAGTAAAGTGTCAGGATATAAAAATCAATGCACAGAAATCAGTTGCATTTCTCTACACCAACAACAAGACAGAAGAAAGAGAAATTAAGGAGTCAATCATTTACAATTGCACCCAAAACTATAAGATACCTAGGAATAAACCTAACCAAAGAGACTAAGAATCTATACACAGAAAACTATAAAGTACTCATGAAAGAAATTGAGGAAGACACAAAGAAATGGAAAAATGTTCCATGCTCCTGGATTGGAAGAATAAATATTGTGAAAAATGTCTATGCTACCTAAAGCAATCTACATATTTAATGCAATTCCTATCAAAGTACCATCCATTTTTTTCAAAGAAATGGAACAAATAATCCTAAAATTTATATGGAACCAGAAAAGACCTCGAATAGCCAAAGGAATATTGAAAAAGAAAGCCAAGGTTGGTGGCATCACAATTCCGGACTTCAAGCTCTATTACAAAGCTGTCATCATCAGGACAGCATGGTACTGGCACAAAAACAGACACATAGATCAATGGAACAGAATAGAGAGCCCAGAAATAGACCCTCAACTCTATGGTCAACTAATCTTCGACAAAGCAGGAAAGAATGTCCAATGGAAAAAAGAGAGCCTCTTCAATAAATGGTGTTGTGAAAATTGGACAGCCACATGCAGAAAAATGAAATTGGATCATTTCCTTACACCACACATGAAAATAGACTCAAAATGGATGAAGGACTTCAATGTGAGAAAGGAATCCATCAAAATCCTGAGGAGAACACAGGCAGCAACCTCTTCGACCTCAGCCACAGCAACATCTTCCTAGGAACATCAATCGCCAAAGGCAAGGGAAGCAAGGGCAAAAATGAACTATTGGGATTTTATCAAGATCAAAAGCTTTTGCACAGCAAAAGAAACAGTTAACAAAACCAAAAGACAACTGACAGAATGGGAGAAGGTATTTGCAAATGACATATCAGATAAAGGGCTAGTGTCCAAAATCTATAAAGAACTTAGCAAACTCAACACCCAAAGAACAAATAATCCAATCAAGAAATGGGCAGAAGACATGAACAGACATTTCTGCAAAGAAGACATCCAGATGGCCAACAGACACATGAAAAAGTGCTCCATATCACTCGGCATCAGGGAAATACAAATCAAAACCACAATGAGATACCACCTCACACCAGTCAGAATGGCTAAAATTAACAAGTCAGGAAATGACAGATGCTGGAGAGGATGCGGAGAAAGGGGAACCCTCCTACACTGTTGGTGGGAATGCAAGCTGGTGCAACCACTCTGGAAAACAGCATGGAGGTTCCTCAAAATGTTGAAAATAGAACTACCCTATGACCCAGCAATTGCACTGCTGGGTATTTACCCTAAAGATACAAACGTAGTGATCCGAATGGTCACGTGCACCCGAATGTTTATAGCAGCAATGTCTACAATAGCCAAACTATGGAAAGAACCTAGATGTCCATGAACAGACGAATGGGTAAAGAAGAAGTGGTATATATACACAATGGAATACTATGCAGCCATCAAAAGAAATGAAATCTTGCCATTTGCGATGACGTGAATGGAAGTAGAGGGTATCATGCTTAGCGAAATAAGTCAATCGGAGAAAGACAACTATCATATGATCTCCCTGATATGAGGGAGAGGAGATGTGACATGGGGGGTTAAGGGGATAGGAGAAGGGTAAATGAAACAAGATGGGATTGGGAGGGAGACAAACCATAAATGACTCTTAATCTCACAAAATAAACTGAGGGTTGATGGGGGGAGGGGGGTTGGGGGGGGGGGTGGGGTTATGGACATTGGGGAGGGTATGTGCTATGGTGAGTGCTGTGAAGTGTGTAAACCTGGCGATTCACAGACCTGTACCCCTGGGGATAAAAATATATTATATGTTTATAAAAAATAAAATTAAAAAAAAAGTTTTGATTAGGTGAATGACATAATCAGATTTCTCTATTTGTTTGTTAATTCTCCCCCCCCCACTCTTACTGAGATATAACATTGTCTAAGCTTAAGGTGTAGAATGTAGTAATTTGATATATGTATATATTGGAAAATTATTACAATATTTCTTAATGCAAAACTGTTGCTCATTATAAAAAATAATCTAACACAGAAATAAATTGTGAAAGTCTAGTTTGTACTTTGTGTGTACATTAGAATATATGTACGTATATATACACACATATAATGCATGTATACATTGTTGGGTTTATATACAATATAATTATATTATATATACAAAATAGAGCAATCGGCTTTTTCCACTTAACAGTGTGTCTTTGACTTTTTCCATGTCTTTATTTTTTTTTTTATTTTTTTTTAAAGATTTTATTTATTGATTTGACACAGAGAGATCACAAGTAGACAGAGAGGCAGGCAGAGAGAGAGAGAGAGAGTGGGAAGCAGGCTCCCCGCTGAGCAGAGAGCCGGATGCGGGACTCGATCCCAGGACCCTGAGATCATGACCTGAGCCGAAGGCAGCGGCTTAACCCACTGAGCCACCCAGGCGCCCCTCCATGTCTTTATTTTTTAATTATTCAGTAATATATAAGTACGTTTTCATGGTAAAAGATCAGAACAATACACAGGTATAGAGAGAATAAATTTTGAAACTTGCCTTTCCTGCTCCCTCCCTATTTGCTATCCCACCAAAAAACAAAACAAAACAAAACAAAACAAAACCATCAACAGTTTGGTGAGTATCCTTATGGTATCCTTTCCATGCCTTTATATTATAAAAGAAGTACTTATACACATATAGAATTTTTTTTATATAACTGAGTCAAGCATATTGTTATCCTGCTTTTAAATTTCTTATTTATTGACTTAATTCCCACATGATGCATGAAAATGTACATTTTTCTTGTAAAGGATTAGAATTTTAAAGGGAAGGCTAAAAGCTTCTGTCATTGATTTCCTCCCTGGCCTTCCTCCTCCCTATTCACTGTTTGGCTTATTTTCTCTTAGACCTTTTTCTGTTAATTTGCAAACATTCTCTTTCCCTACCTTCCTCCCTCCCTCTCTCTGTCTCTCTCACTCTCTTTCTCATACACATGGAATGTATGGTATTATTTAGTGTTTTTAAAAACTATAAATTGTATCATGCCTATATGTATTGCTTTGCTACTTGCTTTCACTCATTATGTCTGAGAAATTTTCATATTAGTACATTATAAATTTAATTTACTCTTTTTCACTGTTGCATAGTATTCTACAGAATAGGTAGGCTATAATTTGTGTGTCAATTTCCCCACTGACATGGTCATTTCTAACTTTTTTGCTAATATAAAATGTGGTGCAATGTAAGTCCTTGTACATTGCCTCTCTCTTTCCTTTCTCTACTGACTTCTTTTTTTTTTTTAAAGATTTTCTTTATTTATTTGAGAGAGAGAGTGCAAGAGAGCACGAGAGGGGAGAAGGTCAGAGGGAGAAGCAGACTCCCCATGGAGCTGGGATCCTGATGCAGGACTGGGTCCTGGGACTCTGGGGTCATGACCTGAGATGAAGGCAGTCACTTAACCATCTGAGCCACCCAGGCATCCTCTCTACTGACTTATAAATGCTATCTTTAGTCAATACTAGATTTTTATGCATACTTAGGTTTATTTCAGGATTCTCTAGTCAGTTCTACTAATTCATTTATTTATATCTACATTCACAGCACCTTTTTACTTTTCTGTAGTTTTATAACATGTTTAATATCTGGCATGAAAAGAGCCTTCTTTTTTCTTCAAATTTTTTTTTGTTATTCTTGTCTTCTTACTTTTTTTATAAGGATATTAGAGTGAGATCATCATACCCATATAGAATCTTATTGGGAATTTTGTTGACATTGCATTGAGTTTGCAGATTTAACTGGGAAGAATTTGCATCTTTACACTGAGTCTTCCTTTTTATGAATAAACACAGCTCTCCATTTATTCAAAATTTTAAGTTCTTTAGTAATGTTTTATAATTTTCCCCATATATGTCTTGAGAATACCTTGTTTTGGTCATTTCTAGATACTTTATAGTGTTTGTTGCTACTATTAACAGGATTTTTTCTTTCATTTATAATTATTATTATTATTATAATAAAACTATTGGATTTTGTATGAAATCATATGTGTCCAACAACTTTACTGAATTATGTTTAATTTCTAATAGTTTTTTCATTGATTATATTGGATTTTCTAGGTAGACAAACAGATTATGTGCAAATATTGATAGTTTTGTCTCTGTCTTCAACCTGTATGCTATGTGCATTTTTTTTGCCTAAATGCATTGGCCAGGACCCTGTATAAGATTTAATAGTAGCAATAACATCAGACATCCTTATCTACCCCTTTAATAGGAATGCTTCTAAGTGAAATAAATCAGTTAGAGAAAGACAAATACCATATGATCTCAGTCATATGTTAAATTTAAGAAAGAACATGGATGAACATGTGGGGAGGGGAAAATTAAAACAGGAGAGAGGGAAACAAGCCATAAGTGACTTTTATAAACTTTTTTTTTAAGATTTTATTTATTTGTCAGAGAGAGAAAGAGAGAGAGAGAGAGCACGCACAAGCAGGTAGAGGCGGAGAGAGAAGCAGGCTCCCTGCTGAGCAAGGAGCCCGATGTGGGACTCGATCCCAGAACCCTGAGATCATGACCTGAGCTGAAGACAGCGACTTAACCGACTGAGCCACCCAGGTGTCCCAAGCCATAAGTGACTTTTAATGACAGAGAACAAACTGAGGGTTGATGGAGGAAGTTTGGGGGGGATGGGGTAGATAAGTGATGGGTATTAAAGAGAGCACTTATGATGAGCATTAGGTGTTGTATGTAAGTGATAAATCACTGAATTCTACTCTAGAAACCAATATGGCACTATATGTTAACTAACAAAATTTAAATTAAAAAATAGGAATGCTTCTAAAATTTTATCAAGCATGATGCTTACAGTGAGTTTCTGGTACTTGCTCTTTATTAAATAAGTTTTCTTTAATACTTAACTTTTGGGGGGCTTACTTTTTAAAAGCATGAATGGGTATGAAATTTTGTCATTTGCTTTTTTACCTATAAGTTGGGCATATAGGTTTTCTTCTTTAAATTGTTAATGCATTGAATTGCATTGATGCATTGATCAATTGCATTGATTTAAAAACTTCCAGTTATGAAAATTTTCAAACATAAATTACAGTAGAGAGTTAAATAAACCCCACATACCCGTAATTCAACTTATATAGCCATCAACATTTACTGTACTTGGTTCAGCTATCTCCCTTTCCTCTTTTCTGCTGGGATGTTTTAGATTAATCATGAATGTCATTTGACTTCACTCCTAAATATTTTGGTATACATCCCAAAAATTATAGCACAAAGGACATCTTCTCGTATAATCATAATGCCATTATCAGATGAATACCCGGCATATGGAAGATTTTTCTGATTGCCTAAAATATGTTTTTACCATTGGGGTTTGTTCCAATTAGGATCCAACCAAGGTTAACTTATTGTATTAGGTTATATCTTTTAAGTTTCTTTCAAGTTTTTAAAAAGTGAAGACAGAGCAATACCTCCTCTTTTTTATTTCTGTGCCATTGGTTTGTTGAAGACATTTCCGTTTGTCCTGTAGACTCTCCCACAATATGGATTTGGCTGATTACTTCCTTGGGGTGCTGTTTTACTTATTTTTGTATTGCCTATATTTCCTATTTACTGGAAGTTAGAACTAAACACTTGATTATATTCAGGTTCTTTATTATTATTTGGTGAGACTATCTTGGGATTGATACTATGTACTTCCTTTTACAAAGCTGGCTCATCTTACTTTTAGTGATACTGAAAGAGAATTGAAATGGTGATAGTCTTATCCCTTCAGTGTAATGTTCTCCATTATCTTTCCATCTAATGGCTTTACCATCTATTTGATAACTACTGTCTGAATCAGTTATTTCATTAAGGGTTTCAAAGTAATGATTCTATCATTCTTTCAGCATTTATTAGCTAGCATACCACTCTTTAAGAACCATCCTTCATCTACTACAGCTATTTGATAAGCCCAAAAATATAGTTCCTATAGGAAAGACAGAATAAATGCTTAACTCTTTCCCTGTAATTGCCAATTTTCCAAGTAAGGAGTTGGTGCCTTGTTTCCCTTTGACGGATCTGTAAATGTTAAATCTTCCCTGTGTTTCTAGGATTAATTTATAATTAGTGATACATATTTTTAAATGTATGATGGAATATGAGGGACTAATATTTTACTTAGCAGTTTTATATCTGTGTTCATAAGTGAGATTGCCTGTAGCACTGATTCTCAACCTGGGGTTGAACTACCCCTCTACGGGACACTTGGAAGTGCTTTAGTTGTCAGTTTCTTGGATTTCTGTGTGAGGAGTCCTACTAGTATTTAGTAGATCAGGACAAGGGATGCTAAAAATGCCATTAGCACACATGTAAAAAAAGATGGCCTATAGTTTTCTTGTGCTTGTTTGATTTTGATATTAAGGTTATGTATTTTTTATATCTAAGTTCATCAGTGAGATGGGTATGTAATTTCTTTCCTTTTACTTGTCAGTTTTGATATCAAGATGATATACTAGCCTTATAACTGTGTAGTGTCATTTCCCTTCTTTTACTTTGCTATGGAAAATTTTATATAAATTTATATAAAGTTTGATTAATCTGTTCCTAGCTTTTTTGGGCTGGTGACTTTTGAAATAGATTAGTATCATTTCATATTCTTCTTTTTTTTAAATAATTTTTAAAAATTTTTTATAAGCATGTAATGTATTATTAGCCCCAGGGGTACAGTTCTGTGAATCGCCAGGGTTACACACTTCACAGAACTCACCATAGCACATACCTTCCCCAATGCCCATAACCCCACCACCCTCTCCCTCCCCACTCACCCCCAGCAACCCTCAGTTTGTTCTGTGAGATTAAGAGTCTCTTATGATTTGTCTCCCTCCCGATCCCATCTTGTTTCATTTATTCTTCTCCTGCCCCCAACTCCCCACGTTGCATCTCTACTTCCTCATATCAGGGAGATCATATGATAGTTGTCTTTCTCTGATTGACTTATTTCGCTAAGCATAATACCCTCTAGTTCCATCCACATTGTCACAAATGGCAAGATTTCATTTCTTTTGATGGCTGCATAGTATTCCATTATATATATATACCACTTCTTCTTTATCCATTCATCTGTTGATGGACATCTAGGTTCTTTCCATAGTTTGGCTATTGTGGACATTGCTGCTATAAACATTCGGGTGCACGTGCCCCTTCGGATCACTACATTTGTATCTTTAGGGTAAATACCCAGTAGTGCAATTGCTGGGTCATAGTATCATTTCATATTCTTCTATGATTAATTGGCTTATTTAAGTTTTCTACTTCTTAGGCCAACTTTATTTTCTTGGGAATTATCCATTTCACCTAGATTTTTTAAGTTGTTGGTATAAAAGTTACACATAGTACTTTTTAAAATCATTTTTAGGGGCACCTGGGTGGCTCAGTGGGTTAAAGCCTCTGCCTTCAGCTCGGGTCATGATCTCAGGGTCCTGGGATCGAGCCCCGCATCGGGCTCTCTGCTCTGCGGGGAGCCTGCTTCCTCCTCTCTCTCTGCCTGCCTCTCTGCCTACTTGTGATCTCTGTCTGTCAAATAAATAAATAAAATCTTAAAAAAATAAATAAAGTCATTTTTAATCTCTGTTTTTGTAGTTTGGCTCCCTTTTATTTTTATGTTAATTTGTGCCTTTTTAAAGTAATACTTGCAAAAATTTGTCCATTTTATTAGTCTTACTTGTTATCATTTTTAATTTTAATTTTTTAAAGATTTTTATTTATTTATTTGAGAGTGAGAGCATGAGCAGGGGGTGGGGAGGGGGAGGAGCAGAGGGAGAGGGAGAAGCAGACTCCCTGTTGAGCCAGGAGGCAGATGTGGGGCTCAATCCCAGGACCAGGGGGGTCATGACTTGAGCCAAAGGCAGACACTTAACTGACAGAGCCACCCAGGCACACCATAGTCTTTTTTTTAAGATTTTACTTATTTATTTGAGAGAGAGAGAAAGAGAGAGCATACACCCAAGTGAGAGCATGAGCAGGGTGAAGGGCAGAGGGAGAGGGAGAGGGACAGGCAAATTCAGCACTGAGCTCAGAGCCAGACACAGGGTTCCATCCCAGGACCCTGGGGTCATGACCTGAGCTGAAGTCAGTACTTAACCCACTGAGCCACCCAGGCACCCCTTTATTAGTCTTTTCAAAGAACTAGCATTTCCTTTTATGATCCACTCTATTGTTTTCTTATTGTTTGCTTTCTTTTTCAGTAATTATTGATTTTTTTTTGTAGAGGTGTAATTAACAAACATGGTATTAGTTTCAGGTGTACAACATAATGATTTGATATTTGTATATATTGTGAAATG